TGATCAAGAACTGAATTATGATGGTTATGAGGATTCAACTTATTCAACATGATATGGAGTAATAGTGCACTCACATATATGTGATACAAATTTTTAGTGTAGTGTTGGTTAATTGCTAAGATTTGTGATTGAATGAGTTATACTTCGTTTCAAGTATGTCTTTGTTTGAAATTGGAATTAAAGAGTAGATATTGGAATTAATTTTTTTGTATGTATTGTAAATTTGAGGATGTTCTTACATTAATTTATTCGTAATTGTTATACTCCGTATAATGTTTTGTTATTGTACAATTTATCATATGGAATAGTTCTGTGTAGATATATTATTCAATAGTAGGCATTTAATTTGAAATAAAAATTTGATTTTATTGATACACAATTACTAATAGCTACACATACTTATAATTTTTAGCCACACATTAACACTTCCACGTGGCAGTGCTTATTATGAAAAACAGCCAACTCATATGCCACGTGATATGCCAACTCATCAGCCACATCAACATCCACGTGGAATGCCATGTCATTGTTCGGATCAATAGCAACACATATACTAGAATATTACTTACACATACATGTGTTGGTAAAAATGATATAATTACTCGCACATAATTGCATGTGTGGATAATAACTTTTCCCTACGCTCGTATACCCACACATCTTTACACTTATCATTTGTGTGGGTAAAATGAATTTCCCACACATAATTATATTTTTACCTACATTTACATGTATGGCTAAAAACCCTATTTTCTTGTAGTGAACGATTTGTAGAGATAATATATACTTTAATTATAGCCTAAGTAGAGATATATACTTTAATTATAGCCTAAGTAGATATATATATATATATTTACAAATTATACAACGATCAATTATACTCTAAAATTATTGATTATACAACAATCAATTACTAAATATACTCTAATTATTGATAATACAACGATCAATTATAGCCAAATTTAACTCTAATGTTACAATTTAACAATCTAAATTAAAAAATTTACAAATTACTAAATTAACTTGAACAATACATACCGGGAGATTCATAGTTCTGAAACGTTTGGCGGTTGTTCCTCCGACCATATATTGATGATGGGCCTTCCTATCCGGGAGTTCCGTGGAACGTCAAATTTTGTGGCGGGGTCGCAGAAGCTTCCACGTAAATGTGCAATTCTTCATACTCTTTTGTAGCGATCCGAAAAAAATGACGACATGTCTGCTCATCGTGAATGGGTCATAATCTAGAAGCAACATATACCGAATTCTTATATTTTGGCTATTTTCCGTAAATTAATTTAATTTCGGAAAATCCGTCGCCTCTAACATGATTTAGAACATTCTCATGTATACTAGTATAATCATCTCCTTCACTAATGAATAGTACCACTCTAGGAGGTATGGAGTACTATATTTCATCATCTTTTTGAGATGTAGAGCCATTCCAATGAACCATAACAACAATATTGCTCTCGGTAGACATTTTTATATATGGTATATATTATAAATATAATATGAGAGGAGAGTGCTAAACAAAAAAACAATGAATATATTAAGAAAGAAAGAAGTGTTTTTGGAGTGTGTTGTAAATTTTGAGAAGAAATGAATGGATTTTATAGGAGGGATTAGGGTAGGAGTTTGGTGGGAAAGTAGGCCAAAAATACGTGTTGGAGGATACAGGTTGATAAAATACTCGAACCACAATTAAACACCTCATTTTTTAAAAAAAAAATATATATCAAAATACCCTAGTCGGATTCCCCAATTCCGACTAGTTTTTTTTAATTAATTTCGTACATCATTTTTTTAAAAATCAAAATATCCTAGTCGAATTCCCCAATTCTGACTAGGTTTTTTTAATTAATTCCGCCATAGCCACTAGTCGGATTCCCCAATTCCGACTAGGGTTTCAACCCTAATTCGGAACCCTCCTCTAGTCGGGGATTCCCCAATTCCGACTACCGTAATTTGGTAACCTAAAGGCAACTCCCACATTTTGGCTTGTCAGACAGGGGAATCCCGTATTTTTGTAATTTCCTCGTATTTAAATAGGAGTCTGACTTTTTTTAAACCTAAATAGGACTAATTTTAGCTGGCCTACCCTTTTCACCCCTGCTATCTTAATTTGTTCCTAGCGGCCAATTGAGATCTCAAGTCAAACTCTAGCTCCTTCCTTCCAACAAGACAGAAGCTCGGTAAAGGACTTCTACAGCTGAAACGAGGTAAACTGGTAAACGACTGTGATGGTGAAGGCGGATGCGCGGCGTCAGAAGTGGCAGATGCCGTTATGTGTCGTTCCTCGTAGCTTTACCCCTAATTTTTACTGGCAACCAATCTTTGTTAACAGAAACTGCCCGACAACTCGGCAAAGGAACTCTGGCATGCTACTCTTCCTCCGACGCTAGGGTGGTACGACCAGTGCTTCGGATGACGGAAACACAACACTCTGGTCCCCCCTCCTTCGGTTTGCACACAAAACGGCAATTGTAAATCCTTCGGTTTTGTTCATTAATGTTTCTTTTTTCTTCTAATTTCCTTTTTCAAATTGTAACTCTATAATGTGTTGCTTTATTTAATTTTTCTGTTAATTCATTTGTACTGTTTCTTTGATTTATTTTAGTTATTTACTATTGTAAATAATGAAAATGTTGATACATGATTTTAATAGAATGACAGTTTTTATAACATTAATATTATTTTTAATATATCAACACAATTTACACTTTGAAAGTGACAAGTTACAATTATATAATGAGTTTCATTCCCAATGTCATTGTTACAATGTCATGATTTATAATGTCATTTTAATTATTTGATATTTTAACAATTTCATACATATTAACAATGTTTATCATATTATAACAATGTTTAACACTGCCAAATTTTTTATTTTTCTTTTTTTGGTTGTCTGTATGTAAAACCAATGGTATTAATTTTAAAACAATGACATCATTTCATTGTCATATACTCCCTCTGTCCCGAAATTATCTTCATTCTTTCCTTTTTTGTCCGTCTCAAATTTATCTCCTCTTTTCCTTTTTGGTAAAGAATATGTGGTCCACAACCAACCTTACACATTTCTCTCTCCTCTGCACAACTCCGCACCATACAAATCTCACTATCTTAATCCCCGTGCCCAGTCAAAACCGAAGTTAATTATGGGACGAAGGGAGTATATAATGACATTGTATATTATATTGTCATTATACAATGTCATTACAATGTCAAACTTTTTATGACATTGTCATTATACAATGTCATTGACATTGTCACGATAATCATTGTCATTGTGATTATTACAATGTTATTTTACGTCATCGATAACGATATTGTCATTTATAATTTAACATTGTGATATTTTTTACATTGTGACATGCATTATACGACAATGTAAGATAATGTCATTGTTTAAAAATCAATGTCATTATTATATGACAATGTAATATAATGTCATTGTTTAAAAATTAATGTTATTGTTTAAAAATCAATTTCATTGACAAAAACCAATGTCGTCACATGAAAATGTAAAATATGTCATTGTTTAAAACTCAATGTCATTAACAATGTAATATAACTTCTTTGTTTAAAAATCAATCTTATTATATGACCATGTCAAGTAATGTCAATGGTCTAAAAAAATTGCTCTCAATGTAAAATAATTGCAATTTGTCCATTTCATTTCCCAAATTTGCCCTTTCCAATCTCAAACTAATTGCCCTTTCCACTTCCCAACTCTCAATTCCCAGGCCAGTCCGCCTTCAGCCCCTTCCCCTTCAATTTCTTTAGGCCCTGTTTGGTTCAAAGGAGGGGAGGGAAGGGGAGAGTCAAGGAGGGAAGAGAATGGAAGGGGAAGGAAGGATTTTGATAAAAATTTGTGTTTGTTTGGAGGAAATAGGAGGAAAGATTTAATGAAAATATTTTCACAATTTACTTTTATTTGATAGCTAACTTGAAAAAATAGATACATGTCTAACTATTGTGAATATTACTCCTATGGTCATGAGTCATAACTTTAATTTATTTGATTTTTTACTTTTTTAATTTTATATTTTTTCATTTTTCAATTTGGAATTTTTGATTTTTTATTTTTTTTTATTTTTTTTTAATTTTTAATTTTTAAAATTTTTAATTTATACTTTTTAAATTTTTTAATTTTTAAAATTTTTAATTTTTTAATTTTTAAATTTTTTAATCTTTAAATTTTTAAATTTTTAATTTTTTTAATTTTTCAAAACTTTTTGTTTTTTTTACCTTTTTATATTATAAAATTTTGTTCATTCACGTAGGAGATAGATAGTTTGTTGTTATCAACACGTTTCCTCCGAAATACCCCGATTTGGGGGGTTTAGAATGGGAGGAAGTGGAGGATTTTGAAAGTCTTCCACTTTCCTCCCCTTCCCCCCTATTTCCTTCAACCAAACACACAAGAATCTCTCACTTTCCTCCCCTCCCCTCCAAAACCCTCCAACCAAACAGGGCCTTAAGGAATCGGCAAAAAAAATTAAAAAACAACGGAACGATGCGGTGCACAGACAACGACGCACAAAAGCTACAAGACACATATGAAGTATACCGGATCACAAAATATCACAGACAACGATGCGGTGCATAGACTAATAATTGATTAAATTCCATCTTTTTATTGTGAATTGGGCTATGTTTAATTGTTTATTATGACCCAGTTGAACTGTCCTGGAAGAATTACATATTAAGAATAACAATCAATGTAATATTTTAAGTAGGAGTATTGAGTTTTTCTCTAAATAGGAATATGTTACAGCATTCCTGAAAATTCACTTCATATTTTTGCATTACCATGCTGTAAATATGGCAAAATATAATATATTGCGAACTATGACATTAGTTAGTCCTATTTAATAATGGAATAAAATACGGAGTACAATACTCATACTTTATAATCCCAAAAGATTTTAATCCTATTCAGAACACTTTCTTTAAACTATATATACGATGTTTTGACCGGATGCCATGGTAAAAGAAATGAAACAATGGAGTCGAGATTAATTTAAATTAATGAGAGTTGCAAATAGCATAAATATATTTTGGAGTAAATCTTGATCAAACGTGAATGAAAGAAATCGAGTATAACACTGATGTAAGGTAATCAGAAAAGGAGTTAAACAAAGATTTATCCTAATCCTAATTATATACATATTCATACATGTATGTTAGAGTTAAAATAGATTTAGTTGCCACAAACTAATTTCAAGAATAATGTAGCTTCACATTTGTGTTCTCCTTGGCTTTCATCCACGAACCTATATATGAAGATTTAGTTGCCGTTTTTGAGAAATGATGAAGGTGTAATGTAACGTTTTTGAGCTAAATTGGACTAAATAACAATTAATTGCTTTAATGTTGTCCGGCCTCTCACAAAACTTGCCACCCCAACATCAATACAATAATCATCATGTACATAAATCTTTGGTACTTCATGTGCTCTACCTGCATTTTATAGCAATAATTATTGTCACATTAATAAGGTTAAATTTACATTAAAACTTGTTAAAAATATAGATGTGGGAACTTTATTTTGGACTTACTTAAAAAGGAAAGTGTGAAATATAAAATTAAAATGTAGCACGGAGTTACTTTTAAAAAGATGTAGAATATACACATAATTCCAAACATACAAAAATATAAATTTCGATATTCTTAATTTGTCCACAGTTTTTATTTTAAGTTCTTCGCATTTTAACATTTTCTTAAAAAATATAAAAACCTACTATTGCAGGCCAAAGACTGGTTAAATGTAATTGTTTAAAAAAAATATTAAGAAATAATTTGAAGTAGGACTAAAACATAGATAAAATTTACAAATGGCAGTTACTATGTTTTATTGTCAAAATATAATTTATTTGATCCTATTAAAACTATAAAACTTCTCTAATTAGGTTTAAATACATGCTACTCCGTATTATATTTTAGGAACTTCATTGATTCTATTTCTACATTTTATCTATGTTTAAATCACTTTTCCTCTTTCATTTTTTATTTCCCAACTTTATGACAGATGACACTCATTTATTTTATTTCGTTCGAACTACTATCTACGTTCTGAAAAGATTCGTTATATTGGTTTTTCTTAGTCGATAATATCAAATTTTGGAAAATATCAATATCAAAGTTGATTATCGTTGACAAAAAGTGAACTTTTTTGGAATGGACGGTATATTCAATTTCTCATTCCTACATTGACTTACTATACCTTAATGGGAGCAGCCGACGACGATAGAGAAATGGTGGCAGAGGAAGGAGAAGTGGTGGCGAGTAGGCCGATATCATAAGCGGCAACCCCGTTGGGCAAAAACAACCCATAGTTCCGCTCTGAGGTGGGCCCAGGCTTCGAATCTTCATTAAACAAAGCAAAAAGATATATCTCCAGCCGCATGCCAGGCCTCAGCGGCGTCCCTTCGTTCAACATTTGCCTCCTCACCAGGTTCCGGTTGTATGTCTGTGCATTCTGGGGGGTGGCGCCGACTTCATTGGCGTCGCCGGCGGACGGCCATCCCGTCTCCGACACCCTCACCTCCACGCGGTTGAACCCCAACATGTAAATGGCAGCGAGGACCGCGTCCACCTGCGCAGAGACAGAGCCAGAAACGTGAGGTTATGGAGACCGGGGCTTAATAAATTTTTTTTAGGGGTCAAAACTTAAACTATCACCGTAATTTTTAGGGAAATTTATCATTATTAGTTTTGTAACTTTAGTCACTTGCAAATTTGGTCCTCTAACTACTTAATATTTGCGATTTAAGGACTTTCCCCTGAAAAGTACACTTTCCGGCAATAGCATACCGGAAAAGTTGTCGCCGGCGTCGAACTGTGTACTTTCCGGTGGAAAAGTCCTTAAATTACAAAAATTTATTAGTTACAGGACCAAATGTGCTAGTGCTTAAAGTTACCGGACCAAAAACGATAACAGCTGAAAGTTACAAGACTAAAATTGCAAATCTCCCTAATTTTCACTACTTCTAAATATTTATACATTTATATATACATGTTAAGACTCGGGGTTCCATCCTAAAAGGTCAACCTTATAGGAGGAGTAGCTCAAAGCCTCATATAGTGTTTTATTGTTTTATAATTTTCCGGTGTGGGACAAATACTTTAACACGCCCCCTCAGCTCGAACCGGGCTCGACAATATCAGGGTGTATAAATGGGCCAAACACACCCTTAACAAGCTACCACCAATCATGGGTGCTAAACAAGCAGTCAAAACACAACCGGAATTAGCTCTGAGACCATGTTAAGATTCGGGGTCTCATCCTAAAAGTTCAACCTCATAGGAGAAGTAGTTCAAAGCCTCATATAGTGTTTTATTGTTTTATAGTTTTCCGGTGTGGGACAAATACTTTAACAATACATGAGATAATTTTTCTTTTTGGGGGCTGAGGCCCCGCTAGCCTCCCCTGTCTCCACCCTGCACGTACCTGCGCGTATAGCATGTTGTTGTACTTCAAGTTTGTGACGGGATCCACCGCCACCGCGGCGGCAGCGTTGAACAGAACGTAGTCCAGAGAGATTTTGTCGGGGGAGTCTTTGTATGCGAAATACGGGTAAGCGTTGATCCAGAATGGCGATTGTGTATCCACCAAGAACTGTATAAACTGCGTCATCACTGTCGCCAGCTCCGGCTTGAACCGCCCGCCTGACGGCGGGTATGAACTTCCCATAACCGCTAGGGAATGTGGGGATGACACCTGATCCATTATCATGCATATATGCATCCAACCATGTTACGTACGGAGTATAATAATAATTATAATAATAATAATAATACGGGAAAATTTCCTAAATAGGAGTAAAAACGTTTTAAAATTTTAAAATAGGACTAGCATGCTTTTATTCTCTACGTAAGAGTAATTTCTGTCAAGTTTGACATTATCAGGTTTTAAACATGACATTTTTTTTCAAAATTTAGAAGAAATTATTCATATTTATGGAATAAAGACATGATGAAGATCATATTTTGGAATTTCAAAATGTTTTTACGCTTATTCAGGACAATTTCTATATAATAGTACTAATAATAATTCTCTCAAATGATAATAATGATAATAGTTATTACTACCTCCGTCCCGGAATTATCTCCTTATTTGACTGGGCACGGGTTTTAAGATAGTGGGAAATGTGTGGTGGAGAGTTGTGCAGAGGAAAGAAAAATGTGTAAGAATGGTTGTGAACCACAAATTCTTTGTCAAAAAAGGAAAGAGGGGATAAATTTGGGACGGATCGAAAAGGAAAGAATGAAGATAATTTCGGGACGGAGGAAGTATTATTATGGTACTCATTTCAAGGGTGGCTCACGCTTCCAAACAAAAGACTTTCCGCGGTACACATACAATAGTGACTGAAAATGTCATGTCAACTTGTAGTCACGACATATTGTTTATGTATGTATATGCAGGTTAAAAACGAGGGAACATCCAATGACTCTCAGGTGTTCTTAGATGCATTTTCAAGAAATGAAAATGAGTTGTCAATCGGTAATAATTTGATTTTGCGATTTGTGCTAATAATGTTATAAGTTCAATAAACTTTAACGAATTGCTAATTTGTAATCGTTATTGACTTAGTTGTAGGTTATTGCTATGTTGTTGATGCCGACTATCTAAATGTTCCGAGGTTTTCTAGCCTTGTATCATGGAACAATACACATAAGCAAGCTCTATTTAACTATGAGACGACATGTTCAAATTCTCATAGACTGTTGCGCATTACATAATTTCATTCTAATGGAAGATAGGAGCGATGAATTATTCACGAAGGCTATGTTTGGCGAACATAAGTGTCTGTTTTCTAACTTTTGTATTATTTAAAGTCTTTAAAAACTTCTAGCTATATGTTTGACATTACAATTTTCCAGAGGTTTTCCAAAAATAGATCTTTTTTGAAATGCTACAACGAGTAGAATCTGAAAGAAGTTTGTGGCTTTTAGCATTAATTAGTCTCAACAGCCTGTATACAAAACAAAACTAAATCAAACAGTTGACTTTTTACCAAACAATTACCACCTTTTTTTTAAGATCTTTCGAGTCATTAAAAGCAAACAATTACTAAAAAGCTCACAAAATTTTTTTTCCACCTAATTATGCCAAACATACCCGGAGTATGAGCAAGATGATATGATCTTTGATAAGGTGACAAGGACTAGTAAAAATGAATCAATCAAATTTGATATGTCTCAACTCTCAACAACCACAATTATAACGTTTGAGATGTGAGAGTGCGACTAATGTTATGTGTTATGTGTAAGACAAAGTAGAGTCTTTTATTTAAATAATGTCACTTAATTATTAAATTGTCATCATGAATTATCATTTATGTCAACTTTTTGTATCATTTCAAGTGTTTGAAACCACCAAGAACTGTGTTTGAAATATAATTAATGTTAAATCAATGTATATATGTATGTAGTTTATGTTTTGCGAATTTGAAATGGAAGACAGCAAATTTTGGGAACATGCACACCTCCAGAGAGATGGTGGACGTACGATCGCGGTGGCTTCATCGGATAAACAAATCACCAAGAAGGAAAGTTAATTACAAACAAACGGTCTCTTTCATTGTACACAATTTAAAGGTACTCATCTCAACATGATTCAATACTCGTATTTACTGTAGAAATTATGCATCAAGGATAAAGTCAAATATCATCTCAAACATGTGGTGCGTAGTCAAATTCTCTCTATGTTTTTCATGGTAAATTTAATACCACAGATGTTCTAGAGATTATGTTTTACTTTCTTGATCAAATATACTTCGTATTAAGCTTGCATCAGTATTTTTAATCAACTAATATATTCAGTTCTGGTGAGGTGAAAACGGTTAAACTTATATATTACTATGTATTACAACATCTCTAACAAAGATTATTGACACACGCACACATATGGAAGAGATCAAATACAAAGAGGTTCTCATGTGCAAAGTGCAAACATTTGCTCTTTTTTAACACAGCGTTGCACTTCCGCGGTGACAAAAGAAGTTCTCATTTCTATAAAAGGAAACCAGTTTTAACCAAAAAGTTACAAGTACCCTTACTTTCTACCCACTTTTTGTTTGATTTGACATAAAGTAAGAGTATACTTGAAAAGTAAAAACAAAACTCTACCTTACATAAATACGGAGTATGTGTGTAGGTCAAACTAGGAACTTATTAATGGGACGGAGGGAGTACATGCATGAATTCTTGGTGTGCTAAATTAAAAGTGTACCCGAACCTATATTCATAGATAATCACTTACTTCTTTAAAGGAGTTAATTAGTTGTGTAAACATGCAATTAGGAAACGTGTATACAAAAAGTGTACACATTTTGTTGTGTACAAACATACTCCCCGTCCTGAAAACAACTTCTCACTTTTACTTGAGCACATTTTAATGGAAAGTTATGATATTTTCTATGAAAAAGTTACTTTTTATGATGAGAAGTTTATTTTGGGACACCCAAATAAAAAAAGTGAGAAGTTGTTTTGGGATGAAGGTTTTTAAACGAATTAGTTGTGTACACATGCAATTACGAAAATGTGTATATAAAAATCGTACAATTTTTGCGTAGATGTATACCTTAATGTAAGGATCAAATCCCAGTGCGACAAGAGCGGCATGGATGTTGCGCATTGCAGGTACTAGGTTGCCCATAGATGACGTGTCCTCGGCGGTGATGACCTCGTTGCCGACAGCGATCCCGGTGATTTTGGTGGCCGGGAAATATGGCTGAATGTTGGCGGCCACCCACTGGTTGGCTTGTTGCGGGTCGGCGCTAAAACCGGCCAACTTGGCGTTCTCCACCGTCACGATAAGCTCAATGCCGGTGTTTGCGAATGCCGTCAAGATTTGAGGGTTGGTGTCATAGATTCTTACCTTCGTAAACTTACAAGCTTGTAAGAGTTGAACAACTCTCGCCGGCGGCAGCAAATTGTCCCCAAGTTGACCATAGTTGATTCCTAGGCCTTCCACTTCTCTATGCAAACCTACAACATCATCCAAGAGCAAACCATATATAAATATAATTAGGGAAAGTTCTCGAAATAGAACTAACGTGACGGTATTTAATTACTGTCATATTGGAGTCATTACTGTCAAAATAGTTGTACTATTAAGGTACTAACATTAACATAATAGTGCTTACCGCCATTACTGATAATACATTTCAATCATGACAGTAACGACTCATATTTCTGGAAAAAATATAACTGTCATGTTTTGGAATTTCAAAACGTATTTACTCTTATTTTGAAAAACTTGAGTTTTTTATTATTTGAATAAAAGCCATTATAAATTTATAATTATTAACAAAAAATTAGGAGTTGCATATCATATATGAGCTATGTAGCACGAAAACACTCAGAAAAGAGTACGTTTCCGTTTCGGAAACGCTATAAAAACTCTTTGGAAACTCTCTAAACCAGCGTTTTTTGAGCAAAAATGACGTTTCCCGTTGCACGTTTCCTCATGTTTGCAACATAGTATATGAGGGCAAATGCACATAGGTGTACCATGAATCAAGAGGTAGAAGCCAAGAAGTTGTATAACAATGGTGATTCTTCTAGGGACAACGTTCATTACGTACGTGCAATATAGTGCTGAAAATGAAGGCCGGCAATGAATAAAATAGGAGGTTTTTGCGGCAGGAAGGCAAGAAAGAAGTGGCAAGGAAGGTTTTATAGGGCAGACGTGTTTAATGGGAATTCTTTTCTTTACTTGTTCGATTATTGTCTTTATTTGAGGATGTGGTAATTAGCTTCATGACTTGGCTTGCACTCCTCATGATCTTCTATTTTGATGTCATGTTCACATGCCCGTTGATTACATTTAAGGTTCCAAAATTAATTTAACTTTTCATTACATTTAAATGGGTCATACAACAAGAATATATACTTAATGTGACAAGATCAAACTTATATTAAAGCAACGTAACTATACCAAATTTACAACATCTAATCTAATATTACAAGTAATTAAAACATTTATTTTGGGCCACGTCAAATTTAAACACCATAATAATAATAATATATATTATACCAGCGTAGTAAAACTCAGCTTATCCGAAGATCGAGAAATGTCCTAGAAGCTAAGTCACTAATGGATGGCTTTGTATATTCCCTTTTAAATGCATTTAAGTTTCAAATATTCACTTTTCCAACAAAACTTGTCAAACAACCACATCTTTCTGAAGCATTTTATCACCTCATTTCTTAAAGTCACTTTTTACAAATAGCTTTTCAAAAAGGAATTTCTACAAGGAAGAGGCCACGTCGTTCCATACTGGCGGTCCTTGGGAGGGCAAGTTGGGCGGCCTCCTAGGACCAAAAAATGGATTTGTTTTGACCTACACTTTTTTATAAAAAGGATGACACTCATGTAGTCATGTTGTGGCTTTACTAAGAGTGTGGCTTCATCCCAAATCATTGTTTAGAGAGGAACTCGAGACATTTCCCTTTTACCACCCTTTCTTACCAGGTGAGCTGCCCCTCGTAGTAATTGTTGTGAGAGTATGATTTTATTTTCCCTATTAGTCCCGAGTTTTTAATACTTCATGTGTACTTTAATTTTGAGACAATATGTAAATAGAAAATTTGTTTAAATTGTTTACAAAATCGAATTCTGAATAATCACACAACCCCCAACATGTTAAAACATAACGGTAGTTTTTTGGTTTTTTTTGATAAATCCGCACGGGTAGCTCAGTTGGTCGAGTGGTGGGAAAATTAGATCAAGTGACCAAGGTTCGAAACCCGCAGCGACCGTGTGGAGGTTACAGAACATGAAATAAGGCTGGACCTCTGGTGCGCACGTGTATAAGACCTACCGCCGCTTTGCTGACTGAGTCACCGTGATTAACTCCCCCATCATCCTGTCGGATCGGTGTAGGGGCTCCTGGGGTGGGAGATTCCACCTTTTGGACCAAGTAGTTTTTTGATAAAGCACATGTAAATTTGATAAATTCTGTAGTGAACAGGGACAGATCCAAGGGAGGAGAGATCCAAGGGGGTCACGGTGGTCAGCCGACCCCTCGAAACTTCAAGAGTATAGAGCTATGAAAGATCTTCGATTTGATAAATTATGCTTCTTGTAAGTTATTACAAGCAAAAAATTATGACTCTTGAAAAGTTTGATGTGTACTATTGATTGTATTATCAAATTTTAAAAATAACATCTAATTCATTCATTATTTAGGTGAAGTTAATAAGAATCTATAACTTTATTAGTGCTATTTAAACCACCAATTATCTAAGCTACATATGGAACATTCACCTCAACTATTGTTTAAAGATGATCCTGTTAGTATATATGTCCTAGCGACAATCACTTTTTAGAGATATATGTACTTGATCACATTCAGTTTTATATATTTGATATATACGGTATTACACATTGATGATTAAGTATTTTGATTGTCAATATTTTATTCATAATTGTGTTCCCTTGGACTTATGTTGTCAATAAGTAAGTGGGAGCTTATATGATATAACATAAAGTCCTAAAATAGCCCCAATCAATGATCATCAAGAATGAGATATTGATGATATGCGATAAGATTGGTATGTGGACTGCATCATACTTTTAGAAAGTATAGTTGATCTCACAACTATGAGTTCATGTAATTCATGATGGTCACATAGATATTTTAGAGAATATTGGCATACCCACCGAGAAACCATTTGATAAGTTTTATTCATGTGTCTATGGGATTATCGGCGTATAGAGTAGTGTAATAGTCCTCCGACTTGAGGTCAATACGTACTACATGTGCGGAGTGATGTACTTTGACCATGACCAACGCTTGCACTCCAATCGGGGTAGATACGGCATGTGTTGGGTGCATTACGAGCACATGGAGTAGTAGTTGAGCCAAGAAAGGATTCATTCCTCATAATAGATTAAGAGAGAACATTCTACTTCTCATATCTAGATGGATCATAAAGTCATTGGCCAATGCAAAGATATATTCGTTTTGGATATCGAATATGATCGTTATGGATCATCTAGAAAGATTGAGAGACAGAGACTGAGTTATTGGGATAGACACAATATCATGTTCTAGACTTAGTTGAATGTTCGTTGAATGAAAGGACCGTATCACTATGAGCTCTATATTACAGGGAGTTTGAATAGTCCTCGCAAACGTCCTTATATATTAAGTTTGTCTGGTAAATCGTCTAGGGATTCTACTAAGACCTTAATTTGATTAGTGCTTAATATATAAGGCCCTATGGGTCACACAACAAGTGATTATACCTTCCGGTTGAACTGTTAGAAGGAATTAAATATTAATTGGATTAAATTATATTTAATTCGTAATACTGAAAATTGATTAAATATAATTAGATTAAACATATTTAATTCATGAAATTGAAGGAGAGTTCTATTTGATAGAATTAATTAAGTAAAATACATTAGATTTATTATACTTAATTAAAGTGTATTTATAATTAAATAAGGTTGATATTTTCTTTTAATACATTTTGGAATTAGATTAAAAGAAAAATCAAAATAATAATAAATAATATAATAATAATATATAGAGAGTAAAGGTAGGGTAGCGGCTAAAGCCACTCCCTAGCCTTCCTCTTATTGTGATTTTATTATTATTATTATTTATTATTTATATTATTTAATTAATATTTAATTAATAAATAAAATAAAATAAATAATATAGTAAGGGTGGAAAGTGGCGTGCAGCCCACTTCCCCCCATATTATTGATTAGTTTGTTTTATTTATTTATTTGATTAAATAAATGAGATTGGTCCTAATTAGATTAGAACTCTTTAATGAATAAGATTTTCATTGTGATTGGGAAACTAGTTTAAAACTAGTATAAATACACCATTCTCCTTCATAATTCGTGACCAGTTTTCAGATTCAGTATTACCAGTTTATTTCCCTGCGAAGAGATTTCCTAGTCTTTCTCTTAGGGAGATCTAACCGTTCTATCAGAAAGGAGAAATCACGTGGATACCAAAGGTCAAGGATTATCACCGTTAGGCTGGAAAATCTGTAAGTTATAACTCAGATCTGTTATTATTATCTTATTCGTTATTTTGTCATAATCAGGGAAGATCTGTTTGGGAAAATTTTAAACTTCCGCTAACGTACTTTCGAGGTACGTTACATCAATTTCCTAACAGATCCATCCTTTTTATCTGTTTTTTATTAAGTTTCGACTCCTTTAAACAGTTTTTGTGGCTCCGGCACCGGCGATGGTGAACTTGCGATTTTAAAAAAAATGAAAACTTAGCAACTCGGATAACATTGTTGGTTAGATATCTTCTTGCACGTTTTTATTTTTAGTTTTTTACTTATCACACTATGTCACCTTTTTGTGGGATCCGTCTCCACCCCCCCCCCCCCCCCCCCAGAAGAAAGGAAGGACAGACCCGATCACGTTCGGGCCAGCTGATTTACCCAACTCTCCAAGCCCACACAGGGATGAACTGGTGGTAAGCATGTGTATTGACAATGCTTTGATCCGCCGAGTACTGGTCGATACCGGGAGCAGCGTGAATGTATTGTATCTACAATCATTCGAGAAAATGGGTCTACAAAGGAGCCAACTGACCCACCTACGGACTCCACTGACAAGTTTCACCGGTAACTGCATTGAGGCGGAGGGGACCATCCAATTAATGGTTGAAATTGGGGATGAAACCCACAAAGCGTCACTCCGAATGACGTTCGTGGTGGTAGATATAAAGTGTGCCCACAATGTCATATTGGGCCGACCGGGATTGGAAGATCTGGAGGCAATAGCCTCTGTCCGCCACTCATGCATCAAATTCCCTACAGACACTGGGGTAGGGGTGGCCAGAACTGATCCAACGACAGCCCGGACATGTTAACGGGAGGCCCTAAAACAGATGAACACTCGTGGGATGCGGGTTAATACAATTGAGGTGGAAACACACCGAACGGAGTTCGAGGCACACCCAGAGACCGCCACCCTTCTTGAGCAAATCGACCTCGATTTCCCCCCGAACCGTAAGGTGGCTATCGGGGTAGATCTGGAGGCTGATATCCGGGATGGCATGATCGCCATCCTCAAAAAGTTTCAGGTGCTGTTTGCCCGGGGGCCAGAAGATATGCCCGACATTGATCCGGAGATAATATGTCACAAACTTGCCGTTCGGTCTGATGCAAAACCAGTCCAACAGAAGAAACGATATCAAGCAACCGAACGGCGGGAATTCACAAAGAAGGAGGTGGCCACCTTGCTGAGAATAAAGCACATCCGTCCGGTAATCCACGTAGAATGCCTATCCAATGTGGTTCTAGCCCCGAAACAATCTACTTGGAGAATGTGCGTGAATTACTCTGACCTAAATAAAGCGTGCCCCATGGATCCCTATCCAGTGCCGAGGATCGATCTGCTAGTGGATGAAACTGCCGGATGTGAATTACTGAGCTTCATGGATGCTTTCCGGGGTTATCATCAGATATTCATGCACCCGGCCGATGCAGAGAAAACGGCGTTCGTTAATTCGGATGGCGTGTTTTGCTATATCGTCATGCCATTCGGATTAAAGAACGCAATGGCAACTTTCCAGAGGATGATCGGGATGCTGTTCAAAGAAGTGTTGGGTGTCACAATGGAAGCCTATGTTGATGACATCCTGATCAAAAGCAGAAAGAAGGAAAACCATGTCCTGGATATAGAAAAGGTGTTCGGGATAATGCAAAAAGCAAATATGAGGCTGAATCCCAAGAAATGTGCTTTTGCTGTAAGAGGAGGCAAATTTTTGGGGTACATGATGAGCGAGAAGGGGATTGAGCCCAATCCAGAAAAAGTAAAGGCAATTGTGGACATGGAGGCTCCAAGAAATCTCAAAGAAGTGCAGAGATTGACCGGTCAGTTAGCAGCCCTGAGCAGATTCCTATCCAAACTGGCCGATCGAGCTATCCCGTTCTTCCAGATCATGAAGAAAGCCAACCCTTTTGAATGGACGGCCGAATGCCAAACGGCCTTTGAAGATTTCAAAACGTATCTGTCTTCCCCTCTGGTCTTGACAAAACCCGAACCAGGGGAGCACCTGTATATGTACCTAGTTGTAGCTGACCTGGCCGTGAGCACAGTACTGTTGAAAGAAGAAGATGGCGTTCAACGGCCAATCTATTTTGTAAGCAAGGCGTTGAACGGCCCGGAAACCAGGTACACCATGCTAGAGAAAAATGTACTGGCCCTGATAGCTGCCATTAAACGGCTGGCCCCGTATTTCCAGACCCACCCGGTAACTGTGTATACTACTCAGCCACTAGCCACCATCTTGAGAAATCACATGGCAAGTGGACGCATTACCAAGTGGAGTCTCCTGATCGGGCAATATGAGGTGGATTTCAAACCTCGACCTACTATCAAAGGGCAGGCCCTGGCAGACTTCATTGCAGAATGTACCGCCCGGCCCTCAGAAACGGATTTAGAGAACAATGGGTTGGATAACTGGTGGGAAATGTATGTGGATGGTGCAGCTAGTGCCAAGGGTTGTGGAGCTGGAGCTGTGATTACATCGCCCGAGGGGTTCAAAGCATATTATTCTATCCATTTTTACTTCAAGGTAACCAACAATGAGGCTGAATATGAGGCTCTCATTGCTGGTTTAAAATATGCAAAGGCCCTGTGTGCCGATCGGTTAAAAGTCCGGTCAGATAGCCAGTTGGTAGTACATCAAGTAAACGGCACTGCTGAGGCCAAAGAAGAGAGAATGAAGGCATACAAGGAGATAGTTGAGGAGCAGATAAGAAAATTTGAACAGGTGGTGCTCGACCAAATATCCAGGATTGAAAATACTGAAGCAGATATCCTGTCCAAGTTAGAAAATGCAGCGTTCGACGATCGGGCACAAGAGATCCCGGCTCATATCCAACGTTTTGCCCATCGGGAAACATTGGCGACCCCAGCAATCATGGTGCTCCAGATCGAGGCCATATCTCATGCTGTCCCGAGCTGGGTCGTTGATATGACCAACTACCTGAAAGACGGAACCCTCCCACAAGATAAAAATCCTGCTTATCAAATAAAATGCATCCAGAGGAGGGCTTCCATGTTCGAATTGGTAGATGGGCAGCTGTACAAAAAGACATTTGGTGGGCCATATCTGAAATGCCTCCCACCCGATCTAGCGGCGGCTGTAATGGAAGAAATTCATGAAGGTATCTGTTCCAGCCACCAAGGGCCCAAGACACTAGCCAGAAAAGTCATCCTGCAAGGATATTATTGACCGACTATCCAACAGGATTGCTTTGCACATACTAGGAAATGTAAGGTATGCCAACTATACGCACCAGTCCCCGGACGACCTGCCACTTTCTACACTCCAATGACGGTGGCCCTTCCATTCGCAAGATGGGGAATAGACCTCTTGGGTCCTCTACCTACGGCCCCTGGAAACAACAAGTATATCATCGTGGGGATAGATTACTTTACCAAATGGGTAGAGGCCGAGCCACTGGCCAGCATCACAGATGTTAAGTGTCAAAAGTTTGTCTGGAAGAATATCATCTGCCGTTTCGGAATTCCTGAGCAAATCGTGACGGATAATGGAAGGCAGTTTGTGAGCCGGAATTTTGAGAACTACCTGGTCAAATGGGGAATCTAGCATTCCAGAGCGTCCGTGGCGTACCCTCAGGCGAATGGCCAAGTGGAAAATATGAACCGTACTATCATGGATGGTATGAAGAAAAAGCTGGAAGAATACTCCTCGTCGTGGCCTGATCAGTTAAATTATATTCTATGGATTTACAGGACCACACCCCGAACGGCCACGGGAGAAACTCCATTTGCCCTTGCATATGGTTTTCAGGCCAAAGTACCAACGGAGATCCTAGTTCCCACACACCGAACGGTGCATTACAGCCCAGAACAGAATGAAGACAACTTACGGGCCGAATTGCATTTCATAGAAGAAAGAAGGGATCTGGCAGCTGCACGAATGGAAGAGTATCACAGAGCCACAAGAAGATACTTTGATAGGCAAGTTAAAATTCGTTCAATCGAGGTAGGGGACCTGGTGCTAAGAAAGCGAGAAAAAAGCAAACCGCTCGAAGGTGGAAAAATGGCACAAAATTGGGAAGGCCCCTACCAAATATGTAAGAAGTATGCTTCAGGAACGTTTGGCCTACAAAATACCGAAGGCCGACCGGCAGGAACTTGGAATGTGGAGCATCTAAAGAAATTTTATCAGTAAAAACGGCTGTTGCCCCCTCTAAAAAAATGTATAGAGAGGGAGACATAACTTCCACAAAAACTCAGCCCATGATTGACTCGATCATTCCGGATGACCGAATGATGAACGAGTTAACAACATGGAAGGAAAATCAATTCTCAGCTTAGGGAGTTTTTGACCCTAGATTTATGAAGGAATAAAGGGATCAAAAACGGCTTGAAGAGTTGAGGCTCAGAAAATCGGTGCCCGTGGTTAACTCAGTCATTCCGGATGACTGAATGACGAACGAGTTAACAGCATGGAAGGAAAGTCATTCTCAGCTAACGGCTTGGAGTTTGACGCTCAGATAGTCTCACCTCAGCGGTTAATATGAGAATCGATTCTGGAAAACCGAATGACGAATGATGGATAGTCTACCCGGGGGGTATATATCCGAGGGGTTATTGCAGAGAATAACTTAGAGAGAAGCCAGAGCACGAATAAGTAAGAGAGAGTGTATTCAGTATGAATGTCGTGGTTTACAACGGGGAAAAGGGGGTGCTATTTATAGTAGCAATAAATGCTGGACAGGGACACGTGTCAAGCGCCCATTGGCCGAGAGGTCACCTCAACTGGTTGGCGTTGGCAGCCGCATGTGGCCGCATTTAATGCGGCTGTTGGATGGGACGTCTGTACAGGGTACGGTGATCTGTACGCATGTGGCGCGGATATTATGTCGGGAGAGGTGCCCTCGGCTGCAGGGGACTAGCCGAGGGCTCTTAGTGCCGAGGACCCCTGAGTGCAGAGGGCTCCAGGTGCCGAGGGCTACTGTTTTCGCCGTTTTCTCCCAGTTCCTCTGTTTGTTCGAACTATCCATGATGTGATAGTTTGGAGCCCTCGGTCAGGGGGCCAAGGGCACCCCAATGTGCCTTGAGGGTTGATTTGTGCGTGGGGCGTTATAATTCTGGGCCTGTAATTCTTTTTGGGCTTGTTGGGCCTTTGTTGGAGTAGTGGGAGTCTGTGGGCCGGGGGTTCCCGGGCCATATGCTCCATCAGGAGTCCCTCACTCCTTTTGCCGAAAGGTACTTGAGGGAAAAGGAGTAAATTGTGTCTGCCATTTTGATGTTGCTCCGTTGTAATTTGGTGAGGAGTTTGTTGTTTGTGTGTCCCTGCCGAAGGAAGTCCCCCAGTTACCCACATGTCGGGACTTGAGGGCTTGCTTTGCCGTTTTGTTGGAATTTTTCACCAATTTTGTAATTTAATGATTTTCCCGAGGGGGTCCTCCAGTCCCCCACTCCTTGAGGCACTTGTAAAGTGGTGAAAAGGAGTAAAGTAGTTGCGTTGCTGTTATGGGCCGAAGGCTGACGCTTTTCGTTTCATTTTGGGGGGATGCCTCGTTAAAAACCTCATTAGGAAAAACCCTGTGGGAAAAAATCCTAATGAGGGAAAAAGAGTGCACCGAATTCCCCCAACGATGAATCGAAAATGTGAAACCTTGGTCAAGAATCGAGAATAACGGTAATGCCGAAGGCTCTTCTTTTTCTGAGGGCTCATGTGTTGATTAGCCGAAGGCTTGCTGCTGATGTCATGGGGGGTGCCGAAGGGGAGCCCCTCAATCTGGGGATCGAGGGCGCGATGGATGAGGGCAGTAGTTGCATTGTCACCGGGGGGTCCACTGCTTGTTGATTAGTTGGTGATGATGATATCCGAGGGCTCCCTTTACCTGTGTGCCGTAGGCTATCGGTCAATGAGACATACTACCCGGGGGCTACCCGGCCCTCACAGTGCTGAGGGGGGAATCCCCGAGGGGTGGCCTGATATGAGGCTTTGGGCTCCTGAAGGAGTGATCCCGAAGGCGACTGTTATGTACTGTGTGGGCACAACCCGGGGGCGTCTCCGGGTAAGTGTACCCGAAGGCCCTCCTTGATGAAGTGGAGTGAAGTAAGAAAACCCGGGGGCTCCCCAGAATATAGCCGTTGGAAATAAACCCGTTGGAATATGTAACGTCAGGATATAGTCGTTGGGGGGGTACACGTGGCGCGTGATGGTTCGCTGTCCGTGGGCGGCGTTATTGATTGGGCGATACCGCGGTCTGTAATGATGGCGATCCAACCGGAGGCCCGGTTTCCAGGCCCAAGCCCGGATCCCAGCGCCTATAAATACCCCAAGGCCAGGCCACTCTCCGTTGTGCGATCTCAGTGTAGCGAAGCTCTGGCAAAATTTTTCTAGAGAGAGAAACTTGCCCTCGGTTGAATCCTCAGTTCTCAAGGTCAGTTCTCCATCCGCCTTTCACCTCTTAGCTAGTTGTATTGTGCTCTTAGGCTAGGAGATAGAATATTTAGAAACCACTAGCGTCTACGAGCCTTCGAACTAGAGTCAGAATGTCGTCCCAGAGTGACTCTCAAGACATCTCGGGGGCGCCCTCGATGGAGGATGAAGTCCTCTCGGACGTGGAGTCCTCAAGTGCACAGTCTTCGGTGGGACAGGATGCCGCCGTTGCCCTGGAGCTGCAGAAAGCCCTCGTTGCTGAGGCGGAAGCCGAGGGCTTCGAGCAAGAATGTGAGGACGAAGAGTTGGCCCTAGCCTGGCAAGCAGCTGAAGAGGAGGCGCAAAGAGAAGGCGCGAGGGTCACCGTTGCTGTGCTCCCCCCTCGGGGTGCTGGTGAGGCCAGCACCTCTCGGCCGCTGAACGCGGTTCCCATCCGGGTGGCCCCCGGAAAAAAGAAGGCCAAGGTAGCTGCTCCCAAGAAGAAAAAGGGCAGCGTTGCAGATCAAGGGAAGCCCCTCGATATGCCCGAGGGGTACTCCTACCTGAACACCGCCGCCTTGGAGATAAGATCGAAGGTTGACGCGGCGGATATTTATGTCACTCAGCTTCACGTAGGCCCCTCGGCCATCGTGGTGACACCGGGCCCAGATGACATCCTTTCCCGGGCTCCCGAGGGTTGTATTGCGGTGCACGTTCTCTCGGTGTCTATGGGGCTCCGCTTCCCCCTGCACCCTTTCCTCCGGGAGTACCTTCGGTTCGTGGGTCTGGTCCCCTGCCAGCTGACCCCGAACATCCATTCATATATTACTGGCTTCCTCCAGCTCTGCAAGTCCCGGGGGGTGACGCCTAGCCTGGACCTCTTCTTCCAGAGCTTTAATTTGTGCCGTGGGGGGGGGGGGCACGCGAATGCCGAGGGCTTCACCAACTTACAGCAGGTGGCCCTCTTCAAGCTCTTTACTGAGGCGCCCTCCTCCAACAAAGGGTGGAAAGATCGGTGGTGCTACGTGAGGCTGACCGAGAGCCCCTTCCCGAGGGAACTGCGTGACCGGTTTAGGAGGCATGAGAAGAGGAGAAGTGCCGCCCTCGAGAAAGACGGCAGGATCCTGGCCAAGATTCCGGAGGGCCGGGACAAAAACATCACCATTAAGGAGTGCACCAAGGAGGAGGATCTCTATACCCTCGGGTTCAGGCGGTATCGCTTCCTGGGGGAGACAGATGGGAAGTTCCCGGTGTTCGAGGGAGCCTCCGGAGGTAGTGGCTGAGGGCACCCTTATTTTATATCTTAGCAGATAGTCCATCTGCTAGTTCGTTTCTTTTTTGTGTCATCTGATAGTACCCCTCGGTTTTAACCCCACACTGTTTTTGCAGGTATCCCAGTCAATATGATGAATGTCAAGGGGCTCGCAGATCTGAAGAAGAAAAAACCTTCCAAGGCCCCGAGGGGGACGGATGCGGGTGCCCCAAAACCCGCCAGTGACTTCTTCAAGAAGCCGGAGGGGCCATCGGCGGCCCCAAACACTGATGCAGCTGCCGCTGCCAAGAGGAAAGGCACGGGCAAGGCTCCTGAGAGCAAAAAGCCCAAGACCGGGGATGCCGGGAAGAAAAGCCCCCCGGTGGTCATTGTTGATAATTGCCCCGCCTCCGGGGTGCACGAGGAGATGCCGGTGGCGAAAGTCCCGGGGGGTGTCCGGGAGCCATCCTCCGAGGTTCTGACGATCTCCGTCCCGATTGGTACGGCCGTGATGAATGGCACGGCTGATCCGAGGGCGCTTCTGAGAGGTATAACCCTCGATATTGATAGGACAGCCCTCGGGGATGATGACGACCAAGCCCTCGAGGACAGGATCCTCCGGTCTTCCCTTACGGTGAGTTTTTCTTTGATAGTTTACCGTTTTGTTTGAGTTAGGAAATAATGTTCGGCCTTCCTAACTTATCTCTCTTTTTTTGTAGACCTGCATTGCCCTCGGAGAGCAAGCCCGGCGGCTAGAGGAGTGGCGCCTTCGCAAGGCTGAGCAGGATGCTAAGATGCGGGAGCTCATCCGCCAGAATGCCGATGCTGTCCGGCAGATGGCTATGCTGGAGGAGAGCCTTCGGCAGATGACCCTGCGGGCGGAGGCCGCAGATCGGGGCAGGACGGAGGCTGAAAGGTCCGCAGCTGAGGCTTTGGAGAGAGCTGCCAGGGAGGCCGAGGCCGCGAAGATGGAAGCCGTCGAGAGAGCCCGAGGGGACGCAATCTCGGGGTTTTTGGCATGGGGGTGGTGGGCCGAGGAGCACAAGCAATGGCTGTCCTCAGTCGTCGAGTCCTCGGTTGACGAGTGGTGCGATGGGCCCGGTGTGGAGTGGGTTTCCCGAAAGGGTAAACAATATTATGATGGGGGCGAGTTTTTCACCCAAGCCCTCATCTACCGGAGGATGGCTCGCCACTTGAAGATTGAGCCAAAGGGCTTCGACCCGGCGGCATACGGGCTTCCCCCCTGCAGCCAGATGTCCGCGTTCCTCTCCCCTCCGATGTCGAGAGGCCAGACCTAGAGGATACAGAGCTCATGAAGGAAGCCGAGGGTGACGAACCTGAGGCCGATGCAGAGGTTACTTCGAAGCCATCGGAGGAGGCGGCCCCCGGAAATGACGTTGTATAATTTGTAATTTATACTCAGTAATTTGAACACACTTGTAATGATCACGTTCTTATGCTTTCGGCCCCGGCCACCTTTGTAACTATCACATTTACTCTTCTTTTTGCCGATTGATGAATGTCTGCCTTCGGGCTTTTCATATTTGAATGCGCCCTCTGTTTGAATGTATGCCTCCTCCTTTACGCTTTCCTCACGTATGAATGTATGGTGGTTTAGTGATGGCCGAAGGCCATGTCATTGGGACTTAGAAAATTTCTGCAAATGTAGTGTGTCATGTAGCCTTCGGTTACTGTGGAGCCCCACTGGAATGTTGATTAGGCCGGGGGGGCCAATCTTTAGGACTTAGAAAATTTTTCTCAGTGTTGATTCCTTGTGTACCGTAGCCTTCGATTGATAGGTAGCCTTCGGCTATGAGGTCCCTTCATAAGTTGAGATGAGCAGTTGACCGAGGGAAAAAATATGTAGGACTTAGAAAATTTTCTAAGTGCTGTTGTATCGCATAGCCTTCGGGTGATGGGTGCCCTCTGACTCTGCGTCACTTTTGCAATATGCCCGGGGGCTACTCATTTAGGACTTAGAATATTTTCCAAGCTTAGAATGATGTTGAGCTTCCGGATGTAGATCCCTCCGGGTATATGAATAGGACCCTTCGAGTGATCGTGAGGCCCTTGTGTTGTATGAGTTTTTGGCCGAGGGCCAAATATGTGGGACTTAGAAAAATCTCAAAGTGTGCCGTGGATGTTGAACCTTCGGCAAGTGAGGAGTCTGTCCGAGGGGCAACTGTTTTGGAATAAGCCCCCTCGGTCTGGCCTTTGATGATTTGTAATAGATGCCTTCGGTTGTTGTCATTTTCCAAAAGTGTGGACTTAGGAAAAGTGTGGACTCCTGTTGTTGTAAAGAAAGCCGATGAGGAGTATGTGCCCTCGGCAATTACTTGGAAAGTTGTAGAGTTTGACTTAGCCAGTTGTGTCCCTTGTCATGGGGTAAGGGCCCTCGGTATTAGTGCATAACAGATGTCCTCAGTATTTTGTTGGAGGTACCGTTTAGTGGACTTTGGATAGTCCAGTCCCTTCGTATTGTTGAAGCCTTCGGTGTTTGTGTGACCGGAGGTGACCAAGCAGTGGACTTAGTCATTTCTTGACGATATTTTTTTGAGTAGTATCCTTCGGGAAATAGGAGCCTTCAATTACCGGAGGTGTTCCCGTGGGGAGCCCTCGGCATGTTGTGATCTGTTGGAGTGTACTCTTTGATTTCTCGCTGAGTCTACTCCCCTTCACCTTTTTTTTTGGTTGGTGGTGAAGGGAAGGCATCAAGAAACTTGGTTTCTTGGTAAGGCTGGGCCTATTAGGAGACCATCAGAATACACCAATGGCTCTCCTCCCTCGGGTTAACCTTCCGAGTTCCGAGGGGATCGAGGGTCGTTTCCTGGGCACAAGATATGGTGGTCTGTAACCTGCCTCCCCTTGGGGGATGGCGCGGAAAGTGCCTCAGTTTTGAAAGTCGTCCCCTCGGCGCTAGACATAGTCCGTGGCCTGCCACACCCTTGGGGTGGTGGCGCGGGGAGCGTTTCGGTTTGGAAGTCGAATCCTGGGCATTTCTCGGGCCTGTCATACCCTTGGGGTGATGACGCGGAAAGCGTTCCGTTTTTGAAAGTCGAATCCTGGGCATTTCTCATGCCTGTCATACCCTGGGGGTAGTGACGCGGAAAGCGTTTCAAGGAAGGGTTTTCATTTGCAAACCAATTGCAAATGGCCAGGGGCACTCAGTGCCGCCGGCACCAATGGTGGCGCCTTCGGTATATGCGTCCTCGTGGGGTACGGCTTTAGAAACAACACTTGGTGTTAGCTTCGATATATAGCCCCCGGTACTTGGTACCGAGGGGTCTTCTGTAGGAACACTTGGTGTTCTCCTTTGTTGTAGTTGATGGAGGTGTCTACCCTCGGTACTTGGTACCGAAGGGTCTTCAAATGAAACACTTGGTGTTTTGATTGGAGTGTTCGCTCTCGGTGTTTGGTGCCGGAGGGCCTTCGGAGGAAACACTTGGTGTTTCCCAACAGATGTTTGGAAGTTGATAGGAGAGCATATCCCTGGCACTGGGTGCCGAGGGGTCTTCTTTGAAACATTTGGTGTTTTTCTTCATTTTGATGTTGATGATGGAGGTGTACCCTCGGCACTGGGTGCCGAAGGGAAATGAAACACTTGGTGTTTCTTGTCGTCGGTGATGGAAGTTCCCACCCTCGGTACTTGGTACCGAGGGGTCTTGTTCGAAAACACATGGTGTTTTCACTGTTGTTGTAGGTGTTGATGGTGTCCGCCCTCGGCACTTGGTGCCGGAGGGGGTTCTTCTCGTGGTGAGGCCTGGGGCCTGTAGTGAGTATGAGGGCTTGGTGTCTTGAATGTGTCTTCATTCCTCAAAAGTGGAGGCCTTGGGCCATAGGATAGTACATTCACTAGTTATGAGGGCTTGGCCGCTCTTACATTATTGGTAAAATTTAACTAAATGGTGTACATTCCAGTGCCTAGGGAGCTCTTTCCCGTTGGGGCGTTTGAGATTGTAAGTCCCAGGTTTGATGATGGCTGCTATGATGTAGGGGCCTTCGAATTTTGGTGCCATTTTTCCTCCCTCGGTTGGTTGGCTGGCTTCCCTCCTCCGGAGGACATAGTCCCCCACTTGAAATTCTCGGGTGTGAACTTTGGCGTCGATGTAGCCTTTGACTTGCCTTCGGTAGTTTTCTGCCCGGATGAAGGCTTGCTCCCGGCGTTCTGAAAGGAAGTGGAGGTCGAGGGCCATGTTGCTGTCGTTGACCTCGGGGTCATATTGGATCACCCTCCGGGTGGGAAGGGTGACTTCCGTAGGAGCTTTGGCTTCAAAACCGTAGCAGAGGGAGAAGGGTGTTTCACCTGTTGCTCGCCGAGGGGTGGTGCGATAGGCCCAAAGGATGTTGTGGAGTTCTTCCACCCAGCCACCGCCCTCGGCCTCCAGCTTCTTTTTGAGGCCCTCGAGCAAGGTCCGGTTGGCATTCTCTACTTGCCCATTGCCTTGAGGGTAGGCAACGGAGGAGAAGGTGTGTTTGATGCCCCATGCCTCCAGAAGGGCACAGAAGGGGGCTGCCTCAAATTGTGTCCCGTTATCGGAGATGATCTGCTGGGGGACGCCAAACCTTGTGAGGATGTTCTTGAGGACGAAGTGACGACACTTCGCCTCCGTGATGGTGGCGAGGGGCTCAGCCTCCACCCACTTGGTAAAGTAGTCGATGGCCACAATGATGTACCTGTTGTTGGAGGTACCCCTCGGCAGAGGGCCTACAAGGTCTATGCCCTATCGAGCGAAGGGGACGGATGTGCTGATGGGGGCATAGTTGACCGCTGGCCTGCCGGGGGCTTTCTGGAAATGTTGGCATGCGGGGCATCTTCGGGCAAGGTCAGCACAATCCCTGGCCATGGTTGGCCAGAAGTAGCCTTGGAGAATGAGCCTTCGGGACATGGAGAAGGGTCCCTGGTGAGCTGAGCAAGTGCCACTGTGCACCTCCTCCATCGCGACCTCGGCTTCATCCTGATGAAGGCACCGAAGTTGTAACACCGACCCTGAGCATATTTACTTTTAGTAAATTATGTAATAAACCTTTAAGGATGATTTATGAATTTACGTAATTGTTAAATTTCATTATTTCTTTTACGTGAATAGTAAATTGCATGTGGGGCCCACAGCGGGAACGTGGACCGCCCGATAATTCCCGAACCACATATTATATTCATCTTGGTCTAGATAATTTGTATATGGTGGTGGATATTTTATTTGGGCCATAAGAAAGGCATGGAGTTGACCGGTTGGTCAAACGGGGCCCAATTACCGGTATTGGCAATTTAACGGATAACAGCCCGAAATGAGTTTCGGAGACTCCTAAATTAATGTTGGGGAATATACATCTATTCTAAAGGTCCATAATTATTAGGGACACGTGATATATTTTATTTTGCCCGATAAAATAAAATATGATTAAAACGAGCCGAAAAATGCAACTTTCGGGACCGATTGTGCACGTCTGGACGAAAGGGGGTGACCTCCCACACAAGTGGGGGCCAACCCACGAATTTTCCCAGATCTTGGAGGCTGGCATGAGCTAAATGGTGGCTGAAATCCATTGAAGGGATGGGGGAGACCATCTTGACACCTAAGGGACCCCTAACCTCACCCAATTGTCAACCAAGGACAAAAGTACCATCCTCCCTCCTCTCCCACTCATTGTACTCGTCCAGCACCAAGAAAAGAAGGCCAAGGAGCTCTGAAAACCTCACCTTCCATAGCCAACTCGAGCTCAAGCTCAAACAAGAAAAAGGAAGAGGTTTGGAGAAGAAGAAAGGTAGAAAAAGTGTGAAGAATCAAGGTAATGACCTCATACTAACTTTTTCTCTACTTCTTAGCTACCCTAAGACTTATACATCATTCTTAGGACCCCTAGGATTGTTCTTCATGTTTAGAAGTGTAGAACAAGGGGTTGGAAGGTAGTTCTAAGTCCAAGAACGGACTTAGAAGCCAAATGACCGGTTCGCCGGAAAATAACCTTTCAAGGGTTATTTGTGTTGATATGGGTTTTGTGATGATAAAACCTTGTTAGGAACTTGACTAAAGTGTTCCTAAGTCTCGCCGGAGTCTCGTCGGAGTTTCGCCGGAGTTCACCGGAGTTCAACCTAGAAGGGTAGAGCTTCTTCAAGCAAATTCGAGGTGAGGATGGCTGACTATATTGCTTATAATTAGTGAGTTAATTTCATGAGATTACCGAAGGTAATTAAATATGTTTTTATGGATTATTAATGATTAATAATGCCTAAAAATGAAAAGACTAAATGTCTAGAGAAAAAGGAGCATGATATACAAATTTATGAGTAAATTGTGTATGTTCATGTGTTATGAGTATGTTGACTTGAAAGTGGAATTTATTATGAAACATGTGTTGAAATATACTTTTTCTTCTTATTAGGATATATGAGTGACTAAAAGTGATATTTTGGATATTGAGATAAATGATATTTTCAAAGGAA